GTGGGTGTGTGTGTGTGTGCATGTGTGTGTGTGTATGTGTGTGCGTGTCAGAGTGTGACCCCATAAACGACTTCCCTTAACCTGCTGGTCTGGAAAATCCAACACTTCATCTATATGTAAAAAAGGGCCTTTAGACTAAAAGTGATATAGCTACGTTAATCCTACCGTAAAACAATGAGACAAGGTACAACCTTTCCCATGCTCCTAGGATGTGGGGGTGAAGTCAGAACACCCTGGAATGTTACAGACCTCCTAGGATGAGACATTCTTTCAATGCCACCAACTATATACTTCTAAACACAAATGATTACATGCAGCATTCTACCATATGCAAACTTTTATAATTAAAAGATTATACTGACTACTAAGTACAATTTTCCATTGACATAGCTGAAGCTGGATAAAAACTGGACAACTTTAGCTTTCACTGCTACACAAAAGGATCATGTTTTAAACAAACTGCAATGCTAGCTCAAATTTCATCTGACTGTTTGTGTTAAAGTTTAAAGTCCACAACGATCAGTGCAGGGAAGCAAAGCAGACTTTAAACTGAAGCGTGATAGGAAAATGTATTCAAACTTTCTGGTGAACAGAGCTCTTTAAAGCCTCAAGTTGTTCTGATTTGATGCTGTGAAAAGAAAACTGAAATAAATTTAGATGTGCCAAATAATCACATGTAAAATGCTAAACGCACAACAACTGTTAATATGTTTACACATTAGATGGACTGTACAGTTGATTCAGTCTGTCAGCAATAATACACCATGGGGTCATTTTGTACTGTGGAACTGCTGCGTAAACACAGTTCCTGCTTTGATCTTTCATTGTACTCGTAACAACAGAAAAACAGATGGACCATCTGGTGTGTGGACGATTGGTGAAATTTAATCTTGAGTTCATTCAGACAAAACTGCTTCTTTGGAGCCTCCTGTTTGCAGCATAGTAGCTGAGTTTCCTTTAAATCAGCAGAATGTTCTTCTGGAAAATGTTTAAATTAGGGCTGTCAGTGTTCATCACGTTCATCGCGTTAATACGACGTTAACGGCATATCCACATTAACATGGCCAACCCGACGTGATTAAAATTTTTTTAACATGCTCAACCCATCTGGAGTGCAGAATTGACAAACTTTGGAAAAAACTGCCAAAAATGGGCTGATAGAGACGTTAAAGGGATTTTCACTCTGCGCTCCAGATGGTTTAGTTGTTGATTGCGTTAGTCGTGATGATGGCGTTAACGCATCAAAGCCGCATTAAAGTCCTGCCTTGTTGAATAGATAAGAGGCACAGCTGCAACCATAACAGAAAAGCTCAATCCTAAGGCCTCCACCACACAGCCATAGGGACTGGGTGGAGACTGCTTGCAAACCACCAGTCTATATGGAAAAGCGATGATTCCCAGACTAGTTAGGCATGTTTGATGGAGTCTTCTTGCTGTTTGTAGGTGAAATTAGCTGTAAAGTTGATTCCACACTGAACGCCTCCTTTGTGATTGATTTGGAAATCCTCACCTTGGAAATAAAAGTCTCACATTGTAAAAATGTGTTGATATAACTTTTGCTTCAATAAGGAGAGATCATTAGAAGTAATTAAACATAATGAAAGACGACTGGACTCGAGTAATGATGTCGGTATTGAGTCTTACAGCGTGGGAGAGTGGGAATGATGGAAAGAATATACTAACAGAGAAACGCCTGGGGAAGCAGACCGATGACAGAACATGATCTCCTTCTAACCTTATTCAATTCAATTTTATTTATATAGCGCCAAATCACAACAAAAGTCGCCTCAAGGCGCTTATGTACTGAACACATGCATAAACGTTATTTAGGAGATGAATCCTTTTCAAGTTTCATTAAAAAAAACAAATCAGCATGTAACATGGTAGACTAATGTCCATTCGCTTCCGCTTATCCTTTTCAGGGTCGCTGGAGCCTATCCCAGCTGTCATAGGGCGAAAGGCGGGGTACACCTTGGACAGGTCACCAGTCTGTCGCAGGGACAGACAACCAGTCGCACTCACACCTAGTGGCAATTTGGATTATCCAATTAACCTATCCCCACAAGCTGCATGTCTTTGGACGGTGGGAGGAAGCCGGAGTACCCGGAGAGAACCCACGCAAACACGGGGAGAACATGTAAACTCCACACAGAAAGACCCCGGCCTGCTGTTGGAATTGAACTCAGGACCTTATTGCTGTGCGGCAACAGTGCTAACCACTGTGCCACCGTGGTAGACTAATGTGCCTGTGTTAATTCAGCTCCATATTATTGTGTGAAGTTGCACTGGGTTGGGAGTGGTTGTGTGTGTGTGTCACATTTTTGGTCAGCCAATGGCTGGAATGGGGTTGGACTAATTAGAGGCAGGTGTACTTGATTGCACTATACACTGGTCTAATTATAGCGCACACTACAAACACCGCTGTGTCGTTTTGTCTCTCTGTGCAGGTATGTAATGTGATGAAATCTGATATGTTTGGGATGGATGGGTTTTGCGCTGTGAATTTTATACTGAAGGTGTTGTTTTGTCTCTCTGTGCAGGTATGTAATGTGATGAAATCTGATATGTTTGGGATGGATGGGTTTTGCGCTGTGAATTTTATACTGAAGGTGTTGTTTTGTCTCTCTGTGCAGGCCAGGGCCTATTAAATGCCACAGCCTAAAGGCAGCAGAGTTGCAGAGGCTGGAGTGACCACTGGCTATATGCTTGCAGGGTGGTGGGTCTCCAAGGACAACTTCTAACCCTGTTAAAGGCAACACATGGAGTGCAACTGGCCATGTGGCATAGCTGGCTCTGGCCTTGGGACTGTGTTTTTATTTGATTCATAAATGGGACACTGGACTGTATTATCTTTTATCTCTTGATTTTTTTGTCAATAAATTATCTTTTAGAATTTTATTGACTGTCATCTTTTTGCCCACGACTGAGACGGTTGGTCAGACCTAGAATCTTTCTTTGGGTGTGTTAAAAGCATCTTCCATACAAAATCCAGCAACCATAGCATCTGTTAGCTACTTTAACAATTGCAGGAAGGTTTTAGTGCAGACCAGTTTCACGGAGTGATATCCAGCAATCGGATGTAATGGATTTTCCAAGTAATGACTCATGACTAACCAGCACAGAATCTGGAAATACTCGGATATTTGGCCTTCCTGGCAGAACAAAGAAACATCATTAAAAATGGTGACATGCCATTAGTGAGATGAAATTATTGGCACGGCTTTTAGCTTTACCAGCAACAATGTTTTGAGGATAAATTCACTGGAAGAGGAAGCGGAAAATGCAAACATTTGTCTTCTCATTTCTCAGCACAAATGCTCTGAAGAATAACATCCGGCGCCTTCTTTTGTTTCTGATTGGATATGATGGACAAAAGCAGTGTTTGTTATTTTCATTCTAATGTGGACTATCAGTGGCCGTCCATCTGTGCCAATAGATCCACCTTTGTGCGTTACAAAGTCAGCAGCACACTAAAGTTAGGCTAGGTTAGAGTGCAGTTGTTTTTCCATAAGCTCTGCTTTTCACAGATCACAATTATTCTTGGCTCATGAACCATAATAGTGATGAGTGAAAGCTGTGTTTTATGTGGTTGATAAATGTGCTGTATGAATGTGTGTGAATGAGGCTTGTAGTAGACCAGGGGTGTCAAACTCAAATACACAGTGGGCCAAAATTCAAATCTGGAACAGAGTCGCGGGCTAACGTTAATATTTACTGAAAAAAAAGATCTTCCTCCAATTATCAGAATGAATCTTTTCTTATGGACTCAAACAAGTTTTGCTTAAAAAACTGAATACGGAACAAGCAACACTTAATACTAAACAACATATATATTAGCTGTATAATACCAGTAGGTCAGCTCTAATAGTAATTTGGTATGGCTTCACGGGCCAAATATAATTAGGCTAAATAAAGTTACTGTTGTAGAGCAATTTTGGGTCCACATCTCCTGCCTGCCACACAGCGATTCATGACAATAACCAAATGTCTCAAAACCAGCTTTCAAATCTAGAGGCACTGAAACTGAGCGGTCACCTTTGTCACCTGATAAAAAGTAGTTAATAAGAAACCACTAATGCTGTGCAACACATGAAATCAATAAGATATCCATCAGGAAGTCAAGGCTAGTCAGGTTCTCTGTTGAACATCTACTGTTTACATCAGTGTGGACACGCACATATGTAGTTTCACTTTATTCAAAAGCTTCTTCAATGAATTTGGTGATGTTACATTGAACGACTTGTTAATAGTGAGTTTCTCTGCATTATGCATTTGTGGTTGAAGTGATGATGCATTCACTGCTCACTTCTCTATTCATTGTAACTCTTAAAGCTTTGTTTCTTTCATCAATGATGTTTGACTGCATTTGTGTGCCTACAATACTGAACTGTTGAAAAGGTTAACTCATGCATCATAAAACTGCATTTTAAGCATAGTTATGGCCTTTATGAGGAAGTAGCAAACAAACATCTGACTCTAGCTATGCATTCATGACCTACAGGCACGCCAAAGCTATTATTATTGTGGTTGTGCATCACTGCGATATTGTGTGCAAGAATTCTAAAATGAACGTAGCCACACAATATTTACACTGCCACTTAGTTTTAACCAGTTAATACAAAAACAACACTAATAAAGTAAAGTGAACAAAAAGTGGAATAAACCTACAGAAATATAGAATACTAATAAAAATATCTAACTAATGTCAGGTGATATCTGTAAATAATACTTGTATCTCTTAAATGGTGTAAGTGAAAAGGTTTACATGAAAAAAGAAGAAATTATGTTCGGAAAAACTGAAAAAGGATCTATAAATAAAGTTACTGTTGTTGGCCAAACACTGTCATTAGTTCCATGTTGTTCTTTGTACAGTTGTAAATCACCTGAATGGTTTCAGAGGTGGAACATTTACTCTCTGCAGATTGTTTTATTTTGAAAAAAATGATTCCCTGTGCGTTTCCTGTGGCCTACTCATCTTCATCCTGCAACGTCTGTTTCAGAGCTCAGCAGAGAAGATTCAGAATCACACTTTGGCACATTCAAGCAGCGCCTTTAAATATTATCTGAGCCTAAATATAACACAGCAGGTTTATTGCTGGAGAGTCTAGTTCAAAAGTCATGAACAAACTGTGTCACGCAACAACTATCTGCATTCTTCACTGGGAGACACTATTGTGCCATAGTTTCTGAAACAATAGGAGTTCTTTATGACTCTGTTATTTATAGTTCATTCCTTTTCATGAGCAATCAGAAGGAACGCCTTCCTTGTTCAGCAAACAAAGTAAACGCTGAACAAACAGCGACAGAGCTCGTTCCACTGGTCTTAGTAGATCTGTGCTCTCTTCCAGTCTAATCTTTTGGGAGTCAAAAAGGAATAAGACGACCACGCTGGGACCACAAATGTGTCACTATACAACTCAAATGTCCCAAAAGAAAAGAAAGAATCGCAGGACAAACATGCAGCCTACCTGTGGCGTACATAACATAGCCCTATGATGATTTAAATATATTTGATCAAACGTGAAAAACATTCACTTATAATTTATTCTATGACCATGTAAAACCATTACAGCTGTTAAACTCTGTCTTCACTGCTGTCTTGTAACTATCATTCATAATAATCAGTATTAATTAAGCATTAACAGTTAGAACACAAAACAAAAGTGGCAGCTCAGGTGGATCACATGAGCTTTGATTTCAGTCTTACTGCCCACTCAGTGTTTCTAACTACAAATCAGATTTTTTTCCTTCATGCAACACTTTAATCTGAACACTTCAAGCACTTTAGTTTCCTCACAATTTAGAATAACTAATGAACACAAGAAGCACGTTTCTCAACCAGCAACCTTTTTGCTGTGAGGCCACAGTACTAACCACTAAATCAACACATGGACCATCATGCTGACCATGCTGACCATTTACTGATTTTACTGTTTACGCCTGTAGTGCATTTAAATATCCCTGAAACACAACACATGTTCAAAAAATTCAAACACAGAACTTTCATTCAGTGCCACAACAAAAAGAGTGACTGCAAAAGAAACAGAAAATAAATAAAAACAATAAATGAATAAAATACAACAATAGTAATAAAACACAAGTTATGTAATGACATCACTGATGGCACAACAAAGTTTATACAGACGAGCAAAAGCAAAAAAAAAAAAGCAACTTCACACATCAAAGATGAACAAAACAATAAATCAGTCTGAAGTCAGTCTGACAGCACAACATGTCCGTGTTTGTCTGCGTCAGACTTGCTTTTAGTTCCTGATGAAGGCGTTGAGAAAAATATGCAGCAAGAGCAGCGACAACCGAGGTGGAAATTATCAGGAAGAGGTTGACCCTGGACAGACCTGCTGATGTAAAATTAAAATAAAAAACAAAAACAAAACAAGATTACCACAAAAACTTATACAAACTGAAACGATGCAGAGACAAGTTGGACTGGTTTCTCACCGATTCTTGTGCTGTTGCAGTTTGGAGGGTTCAGCTGCATCTCAGAGCTGCAAAGTTTTAGTGTAGATTAAATTTTAGAAGAGTCAATATGATGATCTCAGTACTGCTGAGCCTGATTGTCTCCCTGTGGTTGCAGGTTTGAACTCCCAACCTGACTGAAGATCCAGCAAAGATAAAAACCAAAACAAAAAAACACCTCAGTTTCATTAACACCAATGTTCCTTTGAGCAAGGCAGCTAGACTGGTAATGGTTGTTTTTGTGTCTCATCATCCTCTGGATGCTTCTGTTGAAAGAAGGAGGATAATGAGTCAGTCTGACGGCACAAGAAGCAACAACATGTTTGTTTCTTTCTTTCTTACAGTTCGATTCTGATGTTGGCAGCAAAAATGTACAGCAAGACCAGCAACAGCTATAACGATTATAAAAGCGATGACAGTGACGACCACAGGAACCCTGGATCGACCTGCGGAAATAGAAAAAAAAAACAACAAGGTCACCACAAAAACCCAAACAGGAATGATGCAGAGTAAAGTTGGACTGTTTTCTCACCATTTGCTGGAGTCGTGTCCTGATGATCTGGAGTTAGCAGCGACTTCTCTGTCGTCGAGGTTTTAGCAAAGTTTGGATCTAGAAAACCACAAAAATCAGTTGAGACATAATCAGTTGATAAAAATATAAGACGTAAGAAACAGAGTGGTGAAATGTCTTTAAATGACATTTAGTTTATTTAAAGTCAATAAAAAGGTTAACAGGACAACATGAATTTATTTTTAAATTATCGTCACATTTTAAGCAGTTCACACAGTGATGGCACAAAATTGCAGTCACACAACAACAAGCTGCTCTTTTTCTTACAGATCAAACAGATCTTTGAGTCTTTGTACAGTTTGTTTACTGAAGATCCAAATAAACTCAAACTTGTGCCCAACTCTTGTTTAATCATCAAAGACAAACACTGTAGAGTTGAAAGAAACCATTAAATGCCCCAAATTACAATCGCATTCAAGCACATGAAGATGAGTGGATGTAAACATCTGAACACAATATGTGGGTGCAAAGAAATTTAACCCTCAGTACAGCTGTGGAAACTATCAAAGAGACAAAACTCTTCTTTTTGTTAGATTGTTAACAAAAAGAAGGCAAGTGTTTGACACAATGTTAGATTTATAAGTACATTCTTAGCTCAGGTTCCAGACTAAGCTCACAGTGATCACTTGTGTATAAATGAATCATCTTACCAGAGACTGTGACTCTGCAGCTGTTGTAGCCGCGGCCATAACCTGTGTCCAACTCACACAGGTACAGACCCGAGTCCTCAGTCCTGAGTCTGGACAGCTGGAGTCTGATTCGTCCTTCTCTGAGGGCGTCTTTGTCACTCTGGACTCGTCCTGAAAACTCTTCATCCTCTGAGAACTCGACACCATCATAAAGATGATAAAAAGTCCAGTATTTATGGCCATTATTCAGGATACAGAAGACCTTCAGTGATGAGATGGGCGTGTCTGGTTTGGTGGTGAACGTCCACTCCAGTGTGATGTTGTGGTTCTCCTCTGCCTGATAGGAGCTCTGTGTCACATCCACTACAAATGATCCTGTTGAGGAGACAGAGGAGCAGACACACAACTTTATACAACATCAGAAGTTTCCAACATTTTGTGTCCAACGCACTAAATACATCCTCCTGCTTGGCAGCAACATCTTACAACATCCAGTGATCCACTGTCCCTCCTCTGCACATGTCTAAACCATCTCAGGTTTGCCTCTCTAACTTCATCTTCAAACCTGAGCCGTCCCTCAGACTCATTTCTGATCTTTTCCATTCTGATCACATCAAATGAAAATCTGAGCTTCTTCAGCTCTGCCTCCTGTTTCTTGTCAGCAACACCATCTCCAAACCATAAATCATAGGAGGTTTTAACATTGGATTTGCATTTACTTCTTATACAGCACTTTTGTACTCGAACATTCACACTTCAATGGATGCATCGGAGAGCAACTCAAGGTTAATATCGTGTCCAAGAATATCTGGCATATTTTGCAGATTCTACTTCCGATTGAATCTGCAAAATATGCCAGGTCCATCCTACTTCCGATGGACCTGCTCTACCTCCTGAGCTACAGCCAGCCCACCTGGAGAGCACAGAGGAACTTGGAATTTTAATATCCAGCTAAGTTTCATAATTTTCCATTGCTTGTCTCTGCATTTTGTTTGCTGATTGCTGCTCTCCTGCCTGGTTCTGAAGGAGTTTCTACCTGTTAAAATTGAGTTTTTCCTTCCGAAAACCATATTTACCTTTAACTGAACCCAAGTGGAGGATGAGATTCGATAGTGGGACCATGAAGAAAGGCATGAAATCCATGATGACGTCTTCTTAACAGTCTGTGAAGATCAAAAGCTGCTTCTTCCTCATTTTCACATTCAGGCTGCAGACGGAAAAAATAAATAAACAAAAACTGTTACGTTTCAAGACACAGACATGCTTCAAATTACATTGCACTTTTATTTAACTGTATATTTGACTATTTTTGGGATAAAAAAATAAAATAAAATAAAAACAGGTCCCCGACATGAAGATGGCCTCGTACTTCAGGAGGACGGAGCGGTTCATGGACGACATGAAACACGGGAACATTTCACTGAAGATCCTGAACGTGTCGGAGGAAGACAACGGCAGATACAGATGTTTCATCCCCAAGCTGCAGAGCGGAGTGAAAGCTGCTGTTGTTGAACTTGTAGTCTGTTGGCAGAGGTATAAAAATGCGCAGGAAAATCTGACGCGTATGGCAAACTTCACCGACGATATTTGGGGAGGAATAAACACACATCAGCCTTCGGCCATTTTGATGAACGCATACGCCCCCTAGAGCGCACTGACTTTATTAACAGCCACACAAATGGAAACCACACATCAAACATAAATGAACCATTTGCCTGTCTCCATAATTGAGCATTTTCTCTTCTTATGTCAACATAGTCGGTGAGAAGATTTGTTTTGTTGATGTTTGTGGTTCCAAACTCAAAGTTGTTTTTTTTCTCAATACAAACTTTCAGCCTAATTTTAATAACAGATTTTGACTGTTTTGTCTTTTAGATTCAAACTTTGCTAAAACCTCAACGACAGAGACGCCGCTGCAAACTCCAGATCCTCAGGACACGACTCCAACAAATGGTGAGAACACAGTCCAACTCTTCTCTGCATCATCCCTGTTTGGGGTTTTTGTTGTGACCTTCTTGTCTTTGAGATCAGATCGACCTAGGGTCGCTGTGATCGTCACTGCCAATGCCTAATTATCAGTTAAAAGCTTGTACGTTTAGTAAAGCAATCACTTTACAAAAACACAACATTCGGTGAGCTGTAGTAACTGTCTTTCTCCCCTCTGACAAACACACAACTTATAACCGCGTCGTAGACCTGCTCGGTGAATCATCGCCATCGTGTCCGTTATAAACAAACCTCACACAGTCAGGCAGGTTCTGACTATCTTCTCGTTTTAAGCTTCTTCCGGTTTTAAAGTAACTCACTGACAGCTGTCACACTGTTAGTGACGGACAACACAGCACAGCTGATAACAGTCATTTCAGCAGGGCCGTGCAGAGAGGTTTAATGGGGCGGGTGCTCAAAGTTAAAAAGGGGCACATTGAACCAGGCTGAATAACAACAACACATTCATCAAGAATCTAATATGGGAAGGGCAGGGCTGTGTTGATCTGAGACTGTTGACATTAAAAAGTCCATAGGAGAGATGGTAGCTGATTAAACAAGTGTCATGAGATAATAACAAAATGCAAAGATTGGTGACAGCGCTTGGAACCATAAGG